CCCTTCCTTTCCGTTTTCCTGCGTCTTTTTTCTCTTGCGCCTCTTCTTTTCCTCTTCCCGTTCTCCATACTCACCCATGTTGTCCCTTATACAACAAATGAAAAAAACCCACCATAATATTAATAATCTCACCACTGTTGTTAGTCTGGTTTGTTTTGTTTACACTCATTCATTTTTATTCACTTTTCATCAGTTCTATTTTGTGCTTCAACTTGTTCAGTTTATTTTTTTAATATCAAAGCAAAACGCTGTATTGTTTTTTTATTAAATAATTATAATTAACTTTTTTTGTATATATATTGTGATAATGTTATTTCGCAATATAATTAAAAAAGAAACAGGAAAAGAAAAGTAGTGAGAAAAAAGTAAAAGAGAAATAGCAAAAAATTAGTAAAAATTACAACAACTAAAGTCAAAAGGAAATTTTTCGGTTTAAACAAATACGCAAAAAAAGCTAAAGAAAAATTACAATAATTTTCAACAGTTTTTTGTGAAACGAAAAAGAAAAAACGTAAGAGTTATTTTATGCAAAAAGAAATATTATATTACGATTTAAAGCAATTAAAAGTGAAATAATATATGTATAAGAAAAAAATTGCAGCAGAAATATGCTGCTGTCTCTGCTGACAACATAACCCCAAAAATATATAACAAAAAAGTTTGGAAAAAAATTCTGTAAAAGTGAATGAACAAAAAAAGTGATGACTTTGTTTAAAACAATTTATCTAAAGTGATGTAAAGGAAATAAATATTTTTATTAATTATAAACACAAAGGCTTATTAACAAAGAATTTTTATAAATAAAATTTTGGTTGGAAAAACATTTTCTTTTTTCCTTTATATTTTCGCATACACATTTTGTTTCAATGAAGAAGAAAGGCCAGAAAAAAATGCAACAATAAAAGTGAACATAAAGAAAAATGTATTAATTTAAAAAAGTGAAAAGTTAAACACCTTTTTTATGTTGAATATTTAATTGTGCGTGATAATATTAACAATGTAATAAAAAAATAAAAATTTAAAATTGAAAAGCAAAAACAAAAACAATACATTTGTATTACGTTTTTTGTGGGTTAATGACAAAATATTTTTATTAACAAACATCTTAAAAACTGAATCACGACCTTCATTAGTATTTTGTTAAGTTTGGCTTGTTTTTTCGGGTTTTTGTGTGAAAAATTTGTAAAAATAAATCTAAAACTCTGTTGTGTGTTTTTGTTTTTGCACCCACTGCCTGTCGTCTGTGTTCGTTAGGAATCTGTTTAGATTGTTTTGTATAACAACAGCTGCGCTGTTGACGTCAGCTGAGTTTGTACTATAAGAAAATAAAAGTGAATTCTTTTAAAGAATTTAATAAACTTTTAAAATATTTGTTAATTTGTATACAATATGTGTTAATTTGTTTAAAGAATGTAATATTCTTAAATCTTTTGTTTTAAAATAGTGTTATAAACAATGCATTCTAAAAATTAAATTGAGTGTCATCATTTCCTTGTTGTAAAAATGTCTTCTTTTATTTTCTAATAAGAAGCAGCATTTTTGACAAATCCTTGTTTGTAATGCAAAACAGTGTTGCCAGAAAAAATTTAAAGGGAATCTTTAAGTGGACGAATTTAAGAGTATATAAAAAAGTGCAAGAGGAAAAGGGTTTAGTTCTATGTTTTATGCAATTCATAAAGAGAAATTATATACCGATTAGAGACTAATGTACCTTGGCTGCTTTGCTACCCTAATCGAAATGTGCTTAAAAAACAGTCAATATGTATTTTATTATGAAAATTAAAAAAAAAACCGGTAGAAAAGCGGGAAATTTTCAGAAAAGTCCCATTTTATAGATATTCAATAATTCTATTTCAATGTTTAATAATAAAAAAAATTCAAAAAGTACCAGTTGAAGAAAAAAAAAAAAAAGTACCACACAGATTAGATTTATAAATTTTCATTTCATCAGGATTCTATAGCGCAATTTAACATCGTGTATATGTATGATTTCATGTTTCGATGTCAATAATTCAAAAAATCAAAATAGTACCATTTGAATGACGAAAAAGTACCAGTAACTCCCCTTTTATATTTTTAAAGAACAAAAAGTAGCAAAAAATGTATACCTTTAGATTTTTATTATAATTATTCCTGATTATTAGTATGTTTTTAGGATCCATATAGCAGAAAAATTAAAAAGTACCAGTAAAAGAACGAAAAAGTACCAAAAAAAAAAAAAAAAAAAATCACTTCTATAGATTTTTATTTCATCATGATCCTACCAGAAAGTTTTAGGTTATGCCTGATTATTAGTATGTTTCTAGGATCCATATAGCAGAAAAATTAAAAAGTACCAGTAAAAGAACGAAAAAGTACAAAAAAAAATACTTCTATAGATTTTTATTTCATCAGGATCCTGCCAGAAAGTTTTAGGTTCAATATTATAGGAAACTCAGAATGTACCAGTTAAAAAACGAAAAATACCAAGAAATTTTCCTTGCTGCCAGAGTTACTAATA